GGGTGTCACCTGCAGCACCCCCAGCCCTGCCAGCACAGGCCCCTGTCCTACCTGAGCCAGCTCCAGGAACACGAGCACGTCGCCGTCGATGTCCACCATCATCTGCGCCGCCTCCATCAGGCCGGTGACCGTGTACTGCTCTGCACAGGGGGACACGGCGGGGTCGGGGGGTGGCAGGGACGGGGTGACGGTCACCCTGCCCCGCTGCAGCCACCGGGACTCACCTGTCAGGGCCACCAGGTGCGGCAGGCAGAGGCGGTTGGCGAGGATGATGAGCTTCATGTCGTCCAGGTCGGGGCTGGAGCTGAACTGCCCCGTGTACAGGTACTCCAGCACCGCCCGCATGCAGCTCTTGCTGGTGTGAGGAAGTGCCACCTGCCAGACACACACCTTGTCACCTCCTGGCCAGCTGTGCCACCCGCCCAGGAGCTCTCCTTGATAGCAAAAGGGTTTTAAAATCATGGGGGTTTGAGGTGAAAAGGAAAATTAAGCTTAGTAATAGCCTAGGTACATGAAGGCCGTGTACCTCGCTAGAATTGCACCTGTGTAGCTGGGACATGATAAATGATATAATTGTTAGATGGGATGATTAGTAATGGAATATAATTACTGTTTAAAGGTAAGAATAATCATGAGAAACTGTGGTCAGAAAGATCATGAGAAACTCATGTCAGTGTATACAATAGAACAATATAAGTTTAATAATTAATATGTATGTAAAATACGTTCAGCTCGAAAGCTGTGTCGGAATCAGATTTGGGTCTGCACCCCTGATTCCCAGAGCTCTCAATAAAAGCACCTGCAGATAATCATATCCCGTGATTCTGTGTGCTCCTAAACAATGTAAATTTAAAAACTAATATATAAGTTATAGAGGGATAGAATATAAAAATACATTCAGCACGAAAGCTGTGTCGGAGTCAGATTTGGGTCTGCACCCCCGATTCCCAGAGCTCTCAATAAAAGCACCTGCATGGAATCATATCCTGTGATGATGTGTATTCCTAAACAATGTAAATTTAATAATTAATATATGTTATATATACAATAGAACAATGTATGTTTAATAAGTAATATGTAAGTTATAGAAAGATAGAATATAAAATACGTTCAGCTCAAAAGCCATGTGGGAATCAGATTTGGGTCTGTACCCCCAATTCCCAGAGCTCTCAATAAAAGTACCTGCAGATAATCATATCCCATGA